AGTATTCCACATGTGGAGCAGAAGCCATATCGAGAATAACAATGGTAAAAGAGTTTATCAGCAACCATGTAATAGTTGTCGTCATTAGGCTTAGTAAACCCCTTATGAGTTTGTTGCGTTCCTTAAGCCATACGGAGCATCGTCTAAAGTTATTGCCATCGTTATTGTACTTGTATGTCGGAAGTGAGTATATTCTAGCAAACTCACTCACAAATGTTGGTGTGCATTTTTCATTACTTCCAAGTAATACCAGCGTATCTACATAGCCTTTGCGAATAGCGCAGTAAACGTTGTCAATTTGAGTCGGCTTTACGTTGGTGATTTCCCCGTAAGGTATCCATCCAAGTGTATCAACCAAGTTGGCAATGGCTGGATTATTAGCAAATAACGACATAGTGATAGTTGAATTAAAAACCTTATCTCTCAAGTTAAAGTGACTCTTAATTGTGTTACATTACACGCAAATCGATCGGCCTCTTATCATTAGTCTTAGAATGTACTGTATTCCTCTCGGTTAGGTTATACAGTTTGCAATTTGTAGGGGGTGACTAATCGCTTTTTTGAATCTGATAAAGATGTGCTGTTTCTCGATAATAATAATATTGATGTATTCAAAAAGCAAGGTCGCTGGTTATGGTTAACTAAACACACACTACTTTCTCATCATCCTTACGCAACAAAGGGTGATAGAATAATTTAAGTGCAAAGCAGGGTAAATACAATGACCGTACTTCAACCATATTGCTTTTCTGTATTAACATGTCTTTGCTGATTCAGAAAGACCTCAAAGAGGGAGAGTGTTGGCAAATACGGGATTTAAGCTGGTCAACTTATCGATATTTTACCTTCATTATTTAAGAAAACTAACAATATTTCGCTGTTGGAATGTTTGTAATGGAGTAAGGTAGTCTTTTGTTTAGATTGTGTTCCGCATGGTAGATGCGGTTATATAAGGGCAACGTTGGGTTTTTTTTCCCAATGTTTATAAGCGGTTACGTATCTAAAGCTTGTTCGGATGTTAATGGTAGTATATTAGGTTAATAAATATATCAATGGAATGTTGAAATTATATTATGTACGATTATTTTATCAAATATTTTATCAATTTAGTAATGAACCATGTCAAATGCTTTCAACGTGCAAATGAAATGGAAAGTGGGTGAGTGTTTGGATAGAGAATGCTTTTTCATTCACTCTGTAAGTAACTGCAGTGAATAAATTTTGTGAGGGCGTAATTTCGGATTATTAGTTTCTCATAATACAGCACTATCTAGACAACAATAACTGATTTCCAAATGCCTCGATAAGCGTTCATATCGATAAGAATGATCATACACTAATCCAATCAAAAATTACTTTGCTATACCAAAGTTTTATACTTACTTATTACTTATTGTACCGTGTGAATAAAATCCCAGCTGATAATTGTACAGTAAACTTCCTCTAAGTGCACGTCGTCGGGACCGACAATATGCTTGCATTTATGGAGAGCGTGTATTTAGGGAACACCAATCGTTTTGTTTCACGTAGCCTCATTGCATAATATACTATTTACTATAGTCGTCATTAATATTAACTATCGCGAGGAACTTTTATTCACAACGAGGTGCTCGCTAAAGCCCAATTTAAGCTGTTTTGTCATTAATATTAACAAATTTTAATGAGTGAATATCCAAACTGAGAGGAAAGATGTTTATTTAAATTATTCAATAAAAAAAGAATTATTATATATACTTTTATTGTAGAAAACTCATAATATTTGTTTGCTTCTGAGAAGCATCCTCAAGCCGTTTTACAATTTTACTTGATCGTACTAATAGGATTATTTAGGAATTCCATCCCGTAACGATATAGTCAGAGAAAATAAGAATGGGTTGACTTCTATTTTTGAACAAGCCTTAGTTAAGCGAGAAAGTATAGCTTTTATGCCTACTGATATAAAAAAATTTAACAAATATATAAATAAAACCCCCTATTATATCTTACATTTATATGGCCCGCTTATCAATGATAAGAAAGCAGTGGTAACTATTACTGGCATTAAAGTTTTCTTTGATATCCGAATCCCTGACAATAAAAATATATTTGTTTGAAGGCGAAATAAAAATATTCTTGCCAATGAAAAAGACGACAAGAAAATAACTGTAGATTAGGCAAATTAGAATAAAGTATATAAAGCATTTCCAACTCGTGGTTATCATACAAAAAAAAAAGTCATTTATACGATAACACTTGCCAAAGAAAAATTGCTTTTAATATCATCCGAAAGCATAACCTGGAAACTGCATCAGATAATCGTAGTACATATTACCTCAAATTCGCTCGTGAATACGGAATTTCTCTTACAGATGATTAAATTCCGTAAATTACAAGCTTGAGCGCAGCATGTGGAAACTAACACCTGTCATTGACTTAATTGACCCTGAGGATGGAAAGCTCTTATAGCCTTACGGGATTATGAACGTATAAAAAAGTGAATTACACGATACGTGGATACTTAAACGATTGTTATTAATAGTGGCTACACCTATTACGACATATCACAATATAAAACGCTGCATATTTTTCTCGATCAAAGACAAAACGTGTTTAATGTTAATTTTTCTTAAGAATAATCTCTTTTAATTAATTCTTGAAACCGAAAAGCCACTGAATGTGTTTCTATCCAATGAATATTATGAAAAGATAAATTTATCGCATTGTATATAGTCTACGTGTTGAAGAATGTCACTATTATATTGGATAAACGGCAAGCGAAACTTAAGACTCGTGTAAAATTGTAACAATTGTCAAACATCAGTTCCATCCGTCAGTCTATGATTATTCATTTTCATGACTTTGTCTGCTATTAAAACAGTAACAGAGTTAAAAACAACTTGACCAACTACTTTAGAAGACGTGACAAGTTCTCACAATAAGATACCGTTAATTGTAAGGTTTATCAATTTTGGCTTCGATAACTATACGTACATGCTCTAACAAAGTTTTAGGCATGTAAATAAAACAAACGTTTCAAATCGAACTTAAAATTGATAAAAGGACTCGAAATCTAACATACCGTATTAACACTATTAAATTACTGTCACGCTTACTTTAACCAAGTTGCGATAGAACGTTATATACATTCATCGTAATGTACAGTATTTATCATTCTCTCTGACAGTTGGTATACATCGTACGCACACACAAACTCGATCACTTTTGTTGAACGTATTTGTGCTTGATAGTAATTTGTTCATCTGCGCTTTTTTGTCCTGGTCATTGCGTGGGGGCGTCTACTTGCAATTGCCTTATCGTTTGATCACCGTCTATGGTTGGTGGGAAAGCCGCACAAGCAAAGATATCGGACGTTCTAATCGAATGAGATCATTGAGATATGTCTTCTTATCAAAAAAAATTCATTGTCTCATTTAGATATGCAGAAAGATGCAAAAAGCTCATGACAATGATTATTTATGAAGTACAAGAAGATTAATAATCCGGACGAATGTAAAGATCTTTCCATATCATTGCGTACTTTATCTCTACATCAACTTTTAATCAGAACGCACGTCTGTTATATGTCATCTGTCTACAGCAGCAATAAACCTTAATGCTGTTACATGCATAAATTCGGATCACGCTATCCGAAGAGTTTTCTTCAGACTTCCCCGATTTTCCGTATCGAGGTGATATACAATAAAAAAGACGAGTCATGTGCATTAACTTTTGACGAATACGGAACACAAATAAAATGCTTGCTTGGTTTACGTAGTACTCTTCGGTTCAATCTGAGACATTCAGGACCTGACATTTGGGAGAGCCAAGCTTTTAATCCCTCAAAATGAGCGGGTATAGTGTGTGCGAAAATTCTATGATTACTAAACTAATGTTACACTGCGTATAACTCGCATCAGCCCACATGAAAGATAAGATGGATGGAGATGCAGACACCCAGATTTGGAAATCCGCTATCCCGTTTATGTAACACTTGTACAATGTTCAAAGAACATCGAACTCTAGAGTTAATCCCACAAATACAACGTAATAAGCGATGTTCGGTTTCATTCAATCAGCGCCAATCAAGATTAGTACCTTATTTGTATTCCAAATATCATATTTTTATTGACTACCATGTTTCATTTTCGAATCATTTTTCACCAACATAACTACGATCTGTGTTTGTCATACCATATAAAGTTGGTAATACAAGTGACGAAATGATTACTAATTAAAAGTTATATAAACGCGCGATAAGAAGAGAGTAATATATACAACTGCACGTTAATTTAAAGAAAAACAACACCACAAACAACAAACTCATAAACCAAACCGGGAAGAAACAGATAAAGACACACAATCTTGTTAATAATATACAGCAAAATGTCTCAAGCAAAGAATGTCGTAAACGTATGTATTACGAATAGCAGTTTTTTGTGTGCTAGTTTATATATTTTTCAAATGCGTTGCTTTCCGATAACAATAGCAGGCAATTACCGACAATCGCATCGCTGTCTTTGGTAAGGGCCATTGCAAATACACAAGAAAAGTAAGACAAGCGTTAGACGATCTTCAACTTGAATACTGGACAATCGATCTAGATTCTGATGGTAATCTGTTCATTACACTTAATTACTAATGTAAGGAAAAGTGTTAATTAAACATATGTTTTCAGAAAACGGAGAAGAAATCCAGAACTACCTCTTTCTCAGAACAGGTCAACGCACTGTTCCGAATATATTCATCAATAAAAGACACGTCGGTGGATCGGACAATTTTATGAAGATTAAAAACAGCGGTCACTTGCAAGTACTTCTTGATAGAAATTGAAAGGAGTACAATAAATAGTATTAGATATTGAACCACGATGTCTCCATCCAATAACCATTTCACAGAATATTAATATATAAATATTGTAATAAGATAGACAATTATTCATATACTCATTTGCTAAAAACGTTGTCGATTATAATGTAAATATAGCGGTGTTAAACGTAGCTAAATTTTTATCATCCAAATATGTTTACTACTATATTTGCAAATAATAAATATCTACGTATGTAAATCATGTCTTTATGCGAATGAGTATTAGTATACAAAAACGGTCTCACTTTGCCTTTTGCTTACAAACTAGCACTAACTGTTTACCATTAGCTTCAAGTGATGTGATCTCTGCCAGTCAACATTAACACAAGCCTCACAAAACTGTTATTTTGTGGGACATAATAAATTTGAGAGTTGTAATTGTAAAAGAGAGAAAGTTACGAATTATGTTGCAAAACGATAGCATCCTTCGCACTCTCATCAAGGAATATGATTTTCCAATTTTAGTGATAAAGGAATTATGAAGCAATCCATTCCTTTCCATAGCGGCTTTATGTAATTACAAGAAAAAATTTCTATTTCTTACTTAGTTGTAACAATCAAACCTTTTTCCTGCCATATAGTTACGATCAAGAATCTTTCTACGTCCACGCATCCCTTGAAGGGATTCCCTCACGTTTAAACTGTGGCCCGACTAACATACAATTAACGGCAAATCCGTTTACGAGAAAACCCATCGTAATGGAGATAAACCATCCTTCAACGTAAATCTTCACTAATATCCTGACCATGTTGTCCCTATACAATAGTTAAACGACAACAACTTTCGTTAGCATTCGCCTGTAATCGTCCAGTAACGCCCATCAGTTGTCAATTATCGCAAGTAAACGCTCAGTAAACGCCCAGTAATCGCAAGTAATCGCAAGTAATTGCCAGTAATCAAAAACCTCTTCTCTATAAAAACCAGCACTAGGACTGCTCGTATGTACCAAAAGAGTAACTAAAACTGTACAGGAAGCTGTTAAATATTGAGTGCCGGCGAATAATCGCAGAAGTTTATAGACTTTGTTGAGTTTTCGAAAATTTTCGCAGTCAAGTGACTTTGTGTGTGTAAAATTTCAGGGGTTTCTATAATTTTGAAAACTGCTATAACAACTTTGCTAAAAGAATGGAAAAAATTATCGAAAACAAACGTTTAGTAGTACAAAGGTAAAGGAGAAAGATCTTTCGGGAAGAAAAAACGTGGAATAACAAAAATCACGGGCTTTTGCAAATCAAAACTTTGCATGTGACTGTGTGCATCCTTCATACACTGATGACCGCATTGTTCCGAAAATTAACTGCCCGCATAAATAATATCATTGGTTCGCCATTGTTTAGTCCAAGTAATTACAGTCAAAGCTGGTTATAACGAATTCTACGGGACCAGAGAAAATATTCCTTATAACCAGAAATTCCTTATAACGAAGGACACTTTTTATAGTGAAGATTATAAGTATTGATAATTAGATTCATTAT